GCATAATTTCCTCTTATCGTGTTATTAATCAATCAAAAACTTGCTTTATCAGATATGAATTTCGCGTCAGGCACTCCAAAATACGACGATTTGATGATAAAGCCCTTTGGAATAAAACCTGATAACTTGCAATGCTTCAGGAAAAAGTTTTGTTCAGTCGCAGTAATATATTTAACTAAAGTCATTTTATATTCCTTATATAACGCCCATAACGACAAGTATAATGTGTGAGACATATTGAGCAACACTTGGCTGATACGAAATAGATAAGATTTGATTAAAAGGGAAGATACTTTCTTTAATTTCGTATTTTATTAAAACAATTTAATAATATTTAAAACAAATATATAAGACAATCAAACGTTTCAACCTCTTTTAAATTGAGGTCTTCTTCAGTGAACGTAATAAAATATATATAAAAATAAAACTATAGCTAAAATTATTACATATAACGTGTGTAGCATTAAGATTCTAATGTGACTGTTTCAGCCTATTTCTTTATTAGGCCTCTAGCAACAATTGTGAAATGAAAAAGAATGAGAATCAATCTTTTCCATTTGGTTATCCTATGAGTCATCCTTGTGCTTATATAGAAAGACGATAGTTTCTTTTTTCGTTTTATATATATAAAGAAACGTGGCTGTATGTGATGGTCACTTATCTTTTTTGAACTAGGGTGTCTTCTTTTTGAATGAAAGAAGAAACCATGGTCCTTCTATATTAGCATTAGGATCACTCATAGGATGACGAAATGGAAAAGATTGAATTGATTCTCATTCTTTTTCATTTCACACTTGTTGCTAGAGGCCTATTGTCACTCCCCTATTTTTATTTTGTTTTTGTTTTTCCTTTTTTCCTTTCGCTTATTCTATTTCGAGATCTAGCTATTGATTTTATCTCTCTCCTAAGGAATGGAATGAAGATGTACTTGTTCGTACGAAAATAGAAGAACCATAAGCGAAATAAAACACATATTTAAAAATATTTACAAATTATTTTATATCTCTCGACATTGAAGGATAGATTAAGTCAGGCAGTTTGGTATTAGAGAGAGACTTGTACAAGGATGGCAATCGTTTACTCATTCTTTATAATTTTTCTTTTGTTCGCGTAAACTATAGCTCATATTCTGATATCTGTACGTTGTGTTGTGATTAGTAGTGGTGCTACTTGTAGTTTGTGCAGAACTAACGACTAGTTCGTCTGCTTTCGGAAAAAAAATTTTCGAGTAAAAGAGCATATGCGGAAAGTAAAACAGAGAGACGTCAAAGGATAAGAGTTAGTACAACACGCAGGGAGTCCGGGTTGTTTTGTTAATTTCGATAAAAGCGTTATCTTTGATAGAGAACAGCATTGAGTAAGAAATCGGCGTCTGCCACCCCATGTAGTTAGGTGTCTAGTTTAAAATCAAAGAAACCCAAACTCTCCAGCTTGAAGTATAATTGAAAGTCTTAGCTTCAGGGTCCTTTTTAAACCTTTATCGCTGAAAAACTCCTAAATCGTAAGATTGGCGACAAAAAAGCTTTTTCATTTCCGTAGCTCATTGTGTCTAACATTTATGGAAAGTTTCGTCAAGAGAGATATTTTCTGAGTTGTGCCCTTAACGAAACATGCATTCTGACCAAATATTTGATGCATTCAATTTCCCAAATCTACACGATTAAGGGGATAGCTGAAAGCGAGTGGCTGACTCAAGCTAGAAAACTGTGTGAAAAGAATGAAGACGAATTTTTTGTGGTGCAGTAAAATAAGGCCCTCTAAGTTTCAAACGATGAGCTATTCAATCCATATTGTCATTATATCTTGTCCTAATTCAACCGAATTTCCTATAGAGAAAGTAGTTAACCATGTCTTTTCTTTTAACCAACGCTGTCTATCACATTCTCTTATTTCTTGATCATCATACAATATTGTTAAATAAGATAAATGTTTTAAATGATTAATTAATTCAATAATATCATTACCTGATTTCAATGATATTGTTAATTCTTCTAAATTTGAAAATGTTTTATACAATTGTTTTAATTTTTCTTGAGGAAACCAATCATATGAAATTATAAATAAATGTTTTATTTTTTGTTTAAATATTTGACATAGTTCTATATTTGAATCAAGAAATTCTAATGTTGGATATTCACTTGTTATTTCTAATGATATTAAATTTGATGTTATTTGACATATGTTTGTTAATAAATTTAAATCACCAAAGAAAATAATATGTTTAATTCTTGTAAGATCAACATATTTAAATAAATTTTGAATATTTTGATTGGATATAATATTAAAAAGTTCAAGTGATTGAATGGTAGAATAATAACGATTATCACTTGGTAATTCTTGAATCTTTAGTTTATGTACATTTCTATAAGGTTGAAAACATAATTTATTTGATAATGATTTCGTTTCAAATTCTAAATTTTGATAATTTTCTACATAAGGAAGTGTACAAACGACTATAGACGTTTTTGAATAATTACATTGAATGACCATATCAAATCCTTGAAATGTTGCTAATATTTGTTCGACAGATTTTTCATTATTCAAACAATCACTACCATGTTGAAAGATAAAACGAAATTTTTGTAATGATAATAAAAGAAATTCCCAATTATGTCCATATATAAATTTATCATTAACATTATATCCAATTAATTTCAAATTTTTTAATTTTGGTATTTGTTTTAGAAAATGTTGAAGATTTTCTACTGTTTCATTTGAATGAATTTTTAAATCTAATTTTTCTAATTCAATTAATTGTATATTATCAGAATAAATTATATCGGATAACATAATATTTAAATATTTTAATTTTGGTAAATATTCAACAAAATATTTTAAATCATAAAAATGAATTTCTTGTTTTAATATTAAATATTCAATATTGGATCTAGATATTTCTGTATTATAAAAACGTATTTCACAATTTGTATCTAATATCAATTGTTTTAATGATGATGAAAATAATAAAGTAATATGAGCAATACTAGCTGCTGATATTTGATAAGTTTTTATGTGTAAATGATAAAGTTGATGTAATGAGTTTGATGAAAATGATAAAATTTCAATTAAATGTGATTCTGTTTGAATATCAAATAATTTTAATATACGAATATTTATAAATTGTTCAAGTTTAAATTGTTTAAAAAATAATGAAATTTGATTGATTAAATGTGAAAATATGAATGATGAAGGATAATAATCACATAAAGAAAGAGATAAAATATGATCATATGTAATATTTGGAAGTACTTCATGACATATTTGATTGAATCTTTTCTTATTCTTATTTAAAAAATTCAATGAAGACCATTTACAATGATTTGATATCAAATTATAGAAACGTTGATTAAGTTGATTGAATGCAAAATAAATATCATAATCGTCCAAATATTCATAGAGATAATGAATTAATTCATTAGGTAAAAATTCGAATTGTGTTGTTGTCATACTTTTTACTTTTATATTCTCTATTCACAACTACAATCATACATTTATATACTAGAAGCAGCGAAGAATAAAAAGAAATGAATAGTTGTTTTTTTTTCTTTTCTACAGTGACTCACTTTACTTGTGTTCTGTTACATGAATAAATATACTTTTATTCTGGCTAACTGTCCCGTCTATGAATGTCGTCTTAAAAACGAAAAATCTATTTCTTTTCTACGTTTCAGCAAGCTCTTTTTGTCCTCATACCAATTTTGTTTTAAGTGTCCAATATATATAGCAGTCATTCGAGGCGAGAGAGCCTAATATTAGCAAAATTCGGTGCCATATCGATCATTAAAAATTGATCTCTATCGACATATAAACAAATGTTCTTAATGTAACAAAAAACTTTTAGTAGTATTTCTGTCATGACCAGAGGTAACGCTGCGATATTTTTATTGTTGACAAAAATGCAAATTACTGCGTCAAAAATGTCACAGTGTCATATTTGGCCATGACAGAAATACGACTAAAAGTTTTTTGTTACATTACGAACATTTGGTTATATGTCGGTAGAGATCAATTTTTAATGATCGATATGGCACCGAATTCTGCTAACATTAGGCTCTCTCGCCTTGGATGACTGCTATATATATTGGACACAAGGTAACGCTCGTCTTCACTCGCTCGGTCTCTTGACTTTATTAAGTTGAATCTGCGCAAGCGAACGTCCTTTCGTGACTTTTAGATCGAACACAATGCTCACGCCTCCCTTCCTTCGGCTACCTAAGGTA